CTTTGGGGGCACACACCTCTAATTATACTGTAAGCAAAGTGACATTTGGTTTCAAATAATTATTATGTGCCCACCACACAAAAGGCCCCTTGCTGAGCTGGGACACAGAGCTCCCAATGAAACAGTCCATGTCCTCACCGACTGCATGGCTGGGGCTCTAGCACAACAATAACTTCACCAGGATTATTCGTGAAGGGTAGCGGGCACTTTATTGGACACAGATCTGTACTGTTCACTGATGCCTCACGTCAATCAAATCCAGACACATTTCTGAAACAAGGTGTTCTCGATTCCCTGGCAAGACTGTTAAGCATCCCTTGGAAAGCCCCCAACCACGGGTGGTGGCTAAGGCTGGGAAGCTTGGATTACAAAAGCTTCATGCAAAAATAATGTTTTGGGGAGCATCCCAGTGCTTAGGGAAGCCAGCCTTCCAATGAACTGTTTAAAATGTACAAAGACAGAAATGGCCCAGGCAGGAGATTTTCTCTTTAGCCATCATGAAGCCGTCCTTACAAGCTGCTAACTTGCTTTACAGAAAGGCTGGGATGGCTGGCTCAACCTCCAGGAAAATGATTTCTCTCACACTTACAGAACTTCATGCCCTAGAGAGATAAAGCATGACGCTCACTTATTTATGTTCCTTATACAAAAACTATAGCAATCCCAAACCACACAGAAATCATTTCTGGATTAGAAACTATCCCCCCCAATGGATTATCCACGGGAAAGCTTTAATCCTGCCAAGTGAGGTGCCAGATCTTCCTAAAGCCTGCGTACACTGGTAAATTACCCAGAAAAGAACATCCCGCAGCAAATTTAATACTATGAGACTCAAGAAAGAATAGCCAAGAGGTAAGCACAGTGGACTTGAGTCAAGAATTCTGGCCCTGAATTCAGGCTCTGACACTTACCAGCACTGGCACCATGAGCAAGTAAAGCTACCCCCTGAAAGTCAGTTTCCTCATCTTTCAAATGGGGATCACGATACCTGAGCTACCTCATAGGACCAATGTGAGGAAAGTGCTTTGTAAGCCCTAATGCAGTACATATGTGTGTATAGACACACACACATACACACATGTATACACACATTATCATTATTATTAGAGACAAAGAGTTAACCCAAGATAATAGAATTTAGCACTGAAAAATACTGTTCAAAAAGCAACTGCTCAAATCCAATGCCCCCATTTTACAGATGAGGAAACTGAGGCTGATACCGGTGAAATGACTTGCCCCAAATCAGCAGAGCTGAGATTTGAACTCCAGTCCTCCAACCTGAAATCCAGTTCACCCTTCTATCTTGCTTCCCCCGGAGCCCATGGCAATCAGTCAATAAGGATTTATTAGGCTAAGTGCAGGGGATACAAAAGCAAAACCAAAAAAGTCTCTGCCCTTAATGAGCTTCCAGCCTATTGAGGGAGACAGAAAATACATAACAACAGAAAAACAAGATTCTGTAGGGATGGGGAGGTCCTAGCAGCTGAGGAGATTGGAAAAGGCCCGAGTTAAGCTCTGAGTAAAAGAAATCACAGCTTAAAGTAAAATCATAGAATAGCAAAGCTAGAAGAATTTGAGAAATCATCTAAAAATCATCATTTTTACAGAAGAAGAAACTGAAGTCAAGAAAGCTGAAGGGTCACAGAGCCGAACCTTCTCCTTTGCTGAGAAAATCTGAGGCCATGGCCTACTCTACTCAAAACAACTTCATTCCAACCCCCTCTCTTGTCCTTTGCTCCAGTCCTTGATGACAGTGGCCCTTCTTGCCAAAAGTCTTCTATTTGTTCCCTTTCCCCCTTCATTTCCCCCCTTCTCTCTTTCTTTCCCAATCTCATTTGATTCTTCCAAGAACCTTGTGAATTGGGTAATAATAGCTGACATTCCCAAATGCCTTTAAGGTTTGCAAAGTCCCTATCTAATTCTGGTACACATTATTATTCCATTTCATATAGATGAAGAAACTGAGGAAGTGCTGGGAGTGACAGTGAGTCCCCCTCTACCTCGTGGCATTCTGGCTTCTTTTAGGTCTCTTCATTATGGATCCTCTTGCCCCTTCCTGGCTTTGCCTCAGTTTCTTGGCCCTGGCCTCCTCCAAACCTCCTTTATTCAATCCCCCCTCCCCCAATCATCACATGTATGCACACTAAGGGCCGCCTGGTACTAGGCCCAGATGCTATTTTGTACATTTTCCTTTGTTGGCCCCATGGGCTTATGCTTTCTCCCCAGCTAGAATGCAGGCTGCTTCAGGGCAGAGCAGTCAGGGCCTTCTATTCTGCTGCTCCCTAGCACAGAACTGGGAAGGACAGCTGTTCCATCAACGCTGCTTAAATCAATGTCTCAGTAATCTGTAATAAGAAGAATAACAGTAAGAAAGCTCACATTTCTTTGGCATTCTATGACTTACAAAGGGCTTTCAGTGAAATGGATCCTCTGAATACTTCACTGAGGAAGTAGGCTCATAGCATTTAGAAAAGGAAGATCAACAAGTCTAAACCTTTCACTTTACAAATGAAAAAACCAAGGCCCAGAGAGCTAAAGTGACTTCTTGAGGTCATGGTGGAAGCAAGCAGCAGAACAGAAAATGGTGCCCAGGGCTTCCAAGTCCAAAGCCAATGTTCTGTTATCCCTTGCTCCTTCTGTTTCAAACTGCTGATTAATGTGGACTCTTCTACCATTTTAAATTAGGATGGTATTCAGCCATTCAATTAACCCAGTGGTTTCCTAAGCCTTTCTGCTAACAATAAAAAAAACCCCAGGTCTCTCCCATCCTTAAAAAAAAAAAATTTCACTTGACCCTACCTATCTCTTTCCAATTACAAACTCTTAGAAAAATCAACTGTTTCCCACTTCCTCACCTCCCACTAACCTCTTTGACTTTCAAGCCAGATTTTGGCTCTACCACTGGATTGATATTGTCTTTTCTAAGGGATACCAATGAGGCTTTTTCAAAATGATTATAAACGTAATACTAAACATCAATAGAAGTAAAACATACTTTGCACATACTCATATTTAGGTAAATTATTTCATTAAAATTTAACTTTTCAATTACAGTTTAATCAGTATTTTTTCTTTTCCCATTCATTCTTCACTTTCACTCAAATGCTTGTAGTTTATGTGTGTTCTGTTCCTGCCTTTTCTCCGATCTGTATTATTTCCCAAAGATTATGTTCTTGTCTTAACTGCATTAGAGCATGCCACTGAATTAATGTCCCACTATCCACCCCCACAGTTGTATGTCCTACTGCTATAAACATCTTTGAAGGGATAAACTGACTTTTTCTGGGAGTGGGGGATGGGGATGCAAACACCTTCAGATAATGTTCTTAAGGAATTATCAAGTCAAGGGGTGTGATTTTTTTTTTAATAATTTTTACTGTGGTGCCAGACTGCTCTCCAAAAAGACTCACTAAATTCAGCCTCTGACAAAATCTAACATTCATTCATGACAAAAATCACTAACAAAAAAAAAGAGGGGGGGAGGAGGGATTTTTAGTTAACTGGATAAAAGTATATAACTTAAGCCAGGAGCCAACACAATATTCGAAGGAGAAATATTTAGCAGCATGGCTACTAAAAAAACAAATACAAAACAAGGATGGCCCCCTTTTAAGGGTTTCACTTGACAAAAGGGACCAGGTTGGGGACTGATGGACCTGTCTACCAATGCCGGTCCACATCTTCTTTGCATTTATTCCAGCTGAGGCTTGCTCTCTATCCACTAAGCCACACTATCTCCTTAGCTGACATGGTTTTAGAAATTACAACAAAATATGAAAAACAGATTAGAAAGGCTGACTTTGGAAATAAAGAGGCCAATGATTTCTCAATGGCTTAATGCCATGGCCTTTTTCTGGCCTCTTGTTTCAGCAGCTTTTGATAGTGCTTTCTATCCCCTCCTCCTGGACAATATCAGTTGGCTTTTTGGGACACTGCTCTCTCCGGGGTCTCTGCCTATCTGTCGGAGTGCTCCATCTCAGTTTACTGTGCAGAATCGTCAGATCCACCAGGGCTCTCCTGCTATTCTCTAGATCCCTCTCTTGATCTCTTATCTGTTCTTCCCAGCTCTAGCCAGCTCCAGTCTGTCTCTCTCTTGAGCGCCAGGCCCCCTTATAGGTGTGTACTGGTGGCCCACTCAGGCTCAGAGAAGGTTCTGGACCTAGGTCTCCTTGATTCCTAACGCTTAGCCCAGCGCCTGGCACATAGTAGGTGCTTAAGTGTTTACTGACTGCCTTCAAGGCCAGCGCACTCTACGTACTACTACGCAACGCGGTGGCAGCCCGCGATCCCTCGTCGGAACGGTGAGTCCGGGCAATTCCGGAGGCCAAAACCAGGGCGGCGACGACGTGGGCCGAGAGACAAGTTCCCAGTCCAAGCCGGCCACCTTCACGGTGAAGTTCGAGAAATTTTCAGGTCTGCCACTCACCTCCAGGCAGCGGCCAATGAAGCAGGCCAACCGACCCGCCAGTCCCACCTCGACCAATCAAATCTGAGGTCTCAGGAGAATTCCCGCCCCCACTTCCGGACTCCGGGCAAATTAGGCCCCCTTTGGGAACTGTTATAGTCCCTCCTCTTCGGCCTCCCCCGCCCCGTTTTTCGCAGCTTTTAAGGTTGCTGGGGTCGCCTAGGGAGGCGGTGGCCAATGCTTCTCTCCCCTCGGTCGGTATTCCACCCAACCCCTACCGCTGGCCCGGAAGCTCTCTCACCTCCCAAGGGCGGCTAATAGCCCCTAGCTTTAAGATGGCCTTCGCAGTGCTGCTGGCGGCCGTCACCACCTTAGTCGCCATGGTTGAAAGTGAATCCGGGAAAGTGGATCCAGGCTCGCCGCCTCTCGCGAGCACAGGTCGCCGTCGCGAGACTTGAGAAAGGGGCGGGGGAAGAAAGTGCTCAGGCCTCGGGGCCGAAAGTGGAAGGCCTTGGTAAAGCGCGTGCGCGGTGACAAAGACAATTCTGACGCCCCCTTCCGGTGCGAACTAGCTCCTGGCCGGAAGAGGGCAGCCGCGGCCATTTTGCCGAGGTGGCCGTCTCAGCCGGAGGAAGCGAGGCGAGGCGAAGGCCACGTCAGGGCCACGCCGCCGTCGAGCTCTCCCATGGGCTGCCTGGCGGACCTGCCGGTGATTGGCTCGCAAGAGCTGATTACGTCTACCATCCGGCCCAGCCTCCAACGATTAAATTGGCCGGTCATTCTCTATGCGGTCTCTCTCTCCCGCCCGCGCTGGATGGAGCTGATGGCGGCCTTCCTGGCGCCTGCCCCTGCGCCCGCCCCGGCCCCTGTCCGCCGAGCCCTGGTCCTGCTGCTGCTCCTCATCGGGCTCTCGGGCTCCTCAGGTATCTGGCTGGGGGGGGGGGAGGAAAAGGGATGGGCCCCCCATCTCCCAGGCTCTGCGGGCGGGGGTGGCTGGGATGGAACCTCAAGGCTCGCGCGCCGCCCTGGAGGTGAGGTGCGGGGGAAGGGGGAAATGCCTTCCAGGCCTGGAATGGCAAGGTTGGGAAGGAGCGAGCGGGCCGAGCCTGAGGTACTCGCTGCCTAGCTATGGGCCCTTCGGGGGTTCGCTCCAGGCTCCTGTGTATTTTCTGTACCCACCCACCCGTGAGGTACTTAAAGCAGGCCTTAAAGCGCCGCGTGGATGATCGCACTTAGTGCAGACGTAGTGAAATAGACCAAGTTGTCTCCGTGGACTTGAGGGAGGGGGTAGGCTGCAGACCTGGCTTCTCTTGATAACTTTTCGGCGCCCCTCCCCCACCTCATCTCAATTTCCCTACTGTGTAGTACCCGGATATCGAGTGAATACTGGCCCTTCCACCACTGTGGGTGGAGGAAACCCTTTTCTGGGCCTCAGATTTCTCTATAAAATGAGAACCTTTGAAGTAGATGGTCTCTGAGGTCCCTCTCATATAAAGTACTCTTAGCGGGGCTGTATTTTGCCTTTCTTAATATCCCCAGCACTGAGCAAGTAACTGGCTGGCTGAGTATCCCCTCTCTGGGCCTCACATTCCTCCTCTGAAAATGAGAGGATTTGGAAAAGATGGCTTTCTGCTCTAGATCTAGGCTGTCCCAGGTAGACCCTGTTCCCATACCTGAATTATTAACCCAGTTAATTAATAATTGGTCTCCTTTCCTCTAATCTCTCACTCTCCCCCCAAAGCTGATTGCCCAGAAACCTTCATTAAATACTAGTTATTTCCAGGGTAAATTATAAGTTAACTCAACCTGGTATTTAGGGTTAAAGCCCCACAATTTAGTCTCAACCTGTTTATTTTGTGTTGTTCTAGTTGCTTCGGAGTGTGCATGGCTTTGGATTTATGAAAAACCCTTCCAAAAACAGGGTTTCTCATAGTGTATTCCATGCCAGAGAAATTGACTACCCCCAACCATTGCCAGGCCTCCTCATCTGTAGGCCTTAGGCACTGAAGCGGGTAGAACAGGATGTTCCAGACATGTTTTCTCGACTGCCTCAACCATCAAGGTCTAGCCCAAGTGAAACAGGAAACTTTGCCTGTGCTAACACTCACTGACCTCTCTCCTCTTTGAGCCCCTTCCATTACATCTCTGTACTTTACACAGTAGGGTGAAGTTCAGATAGGGATCTTTTGTATGTCAGTTGATTAATTTAATTTGGTATTCTCCATCCCCTCAACAGCGGAGCCCTGCACTGATCCTGTGATTACTCCTTCCTACTACACCACCTCTGATGCAGTCATTTCCACAGAGACAGTCTTCATCGTTGAGATCTCTCTGATGTGTAAGAATGGGGCACAGGTGAGGAAGGACCTTTCTGCAAGAGGGAGGCAAGTGCCCCTGACCCTGAGTTTACTAATTCCTTGTGTCTATTCATGAGTCCTTTGACATTTACAAGTAAAATAGCTTTCACATCCATAATCTCTTGATAATTAAAAAAAAAAATCCAACCATGTGACCTGGTCCCCAGGCTAGACCTTTTTAAATGCAGTCAAATATTTGAGCACCAGTTCTCTAGAAAACACTTTCAATGACCAAGAAACCCTGGCAAAAGTATGCCATATGAAGACTGGTTGAATGGATTTTAGCTTGAAGAAAAGACTTGGAGTAGAGCAGGGATGGGGAACCTGCAGCCTCAAGGTCACATGTGGCCCTCTAGGTCCTCAAGTACAGCCCTTCAGTCAAAGACTGAATCAAAATTTCACAGAACAAATCCCACTAATAAAAGAATTTGTTCCTGTAAAACTTGGACTCAGTCAAAAGGCCACATGTTGAGGCTGAAAGTTCCCCCACTCCTGTTATCTTTTTTCCCCCCCTTTTATTCTTTTTAGGCAGTTGGGGTTAAGTGACTTGCCCAGGGTCACATAGCTAAGTGTCAGGTGTTTGGTCTGAGGCTGGATTTGAACTCAGGTCCTCCTAACTTCAGGGCCGGTGCTCTATCCACTGAGCCACCTAGCTGCCCCTCCTATTATCTTTAAGAACTTATTTTGCGTGGTCCTAGAGAGCAGAACTAGAATTGTGAGTGGAAGTTACAAAGAAACAAATTTCAGTTCAGCAGAAGGAAGAATTTCCTGGTGATTAGAGCTGTCTAAAGGCAGCCTGGGCTGCCTTCCTACTGGCAGGAATAGGTTTGGACTGTTCTAATAGATTCCTGCTCATTGGTGGGTTGGAGCCTCTTCCCAATTCAGATTATCTGAGAAACAGCCTCTGTTCAGAGTCATTTGAGCTGGGAACAGAACCTAACTCTCCTAAAACTGGACTTCTCTCCCTTGAACTAAGTCATAAGTGAACATTTATTCCTAGAGAAGAGTCCAGGATGGTTTAAGATCCTCAGTCTGTATTCAAATGGGGCAAATTCTCCCTGATAGCTTTTTTAGAGCAGAGCTTCTGAAAGGTTTTGTGTCCTAGACCCCAGTGGCAGTCTAGTGATCGCTGTGGACTTCATCTCAAAATGTTTTGAAGTATATAAAACACATAGGTCACAAACAAAATCAATTACATTTGAAATAAGGGCTGTTCAGAAAGTTCATAGGCCTCCCCCAGGTTAACTCGACAGTTCCTTTTGGCTCTTACTCATGCTAAATCATCTGCCCAGTAAAAAGTTCTAACCAAACTCTGACAACCTTTCTTTAAAAGGCCTTGGGCTTTTAATGATGCCTTTGATTCTAAGTGTAATCAGGTTACCTTTAAGGGCCTGTGGGAGTTCTTCAGGGGCAAGAATGTTCTGTTTGTGTCGCAGATTCTACTTTCTTAAGCTGGGGTCAGGGAACTTAGGTGGGTTAAAATTTACATTTTATTTTTGCCAGTCTACCCGAAATTAAGCATTTCCTTCAATTATGAATGTAGGTAACATTAGGAGAGAAGTCCATATGCTGGACTAGGCTGCCAGAGGGGTCCATGATCCTTGATGACTGATAGACTGCAGATCTGGGTTGGAAACCTAGAAGGCAGAGCCAGGTAGGAATAGGGCAAGGCATTATGACTTGAGGGGTTGATTTCCCCCAAAGGCCCAGAACCCTGTACCTCAAATATTTCCAGGGTTCCTTCCCTAGCATGGTCTTGGATTTATGGAAGGTCCCTTTTCCATGGGCCTCTCATAGTGAATTCCGTGCCAGAGAAATCAGCCACCCCGAACCATTGCCAGACCTTTGCCTGTAAGTCAGGAGCACTGAAGTGGGTGGCACAGTGTGCTATTAACTATTGTATAAATGTCTCTTTTGCACCCACACACACTAAGGAGAGAGGGGTATCTCTTTGGCCTCTTCTCATTTTGCTTGTCTTGATTGCTCCCCAGAACGTGGCCCTCTATGCTGATGTTAATGGGAAGCAGTTCCCAGTGACCCGTGGCCAGGATATTGGACGTTATCAGGTAAGAGAGGGGAGACTGAAGGCTGATACATCGAGAAGACAGCATGCTGGGGAAGGGGGGGCTTGGTAGCCAGATGAATTGGAAAGGTTTTGGATGAGTTATGTTCTGTTGTAGACATCTCATGGTGTGCAAAGCAAAAGGGCTTGGAGGGTGACAGCACAGAGTATCAAGATATTTCTGGCTAGAGAGTTCTTATTCCTTATGATATTAGGTATCTTGGAGCCTGGAACATAAGAATGCCCGTTCTGGAACTTATGAAGTGAAGTTCTTTGACGAAGAATCCTACAGTCTTCTGAGAAAGGTGAGGAGGACTTCCCTGTCCTTAAGAGAAAGCATTAGGTACTCAGTCGTAAGCATGGACAGAACCCCTCCCTTCCTGGGGATGAAGTAGTGACCACTAGGGGGCTCTGTTCACACATGAAATAAAGAGATTGTGTATTATTAGAGTACAAGATGGAACCTTTGTGGGTGGAAATAAGCCATCTTGGTTGGAAGAGGCACTCTGACAATGACGTTTTTCCCCCTCCACACTTCAGGCGTCGGGCCCACCAGTGGCCATTTGAGGTCTCTCCCAGGGACCCTTGGCCAATACATTTTGCCTCCTCCAAGAATGAGGTGCTCATCCCTTATGCTATATCCTCTCTACTCTAGGCCCAGAGAAGCAATGAGGATGTCTCAGCCATTAGACCATTATTCACAGTCAGTGTGGATCACCGGGTAAGTATATGGGGGATGAGGATCTCACATCAGAGGTGGGAAGGAAAAGTTGACCTTGTACCTGTGCTGTCCCTCTAAGTACAGATGAGGGTGGGGTTGAATTATATTGTCTCTTGAGTAGGTGGGATGAAAAAGGGTATTTTCTTTTCCCTTGGGGGGTGACTCCCACTCCCACTGCAAGTCACCCTACCACCACCTTGGTCCTAGTTGTCTGCTTCCTCTTCTCTTTCAGGGTGCCTGGAATGGGCCTTGGGTCTCTACTGAAGTGCTGGCTGCAATGATTGGCATGGTGGTCTATTATATGGCTTTCAGTGCCAAAAGCAACATCCAGGCCTGAGCCGTATGAATTGAGCTTCTCTACAAAGACGTTTTTCTTCATGCGAAATAAAAGGGTTTGTCACTGGAGAAAACGATGTCATGACATCTTTTAGTTGATGGCTTCATTTTGTAGTTAAGGAAATTGGGTCCATAGCAAGAAGTACTCTCCCAGATTTTGGCAGTGTAGATTCTGCTACAAGAGTAGTTGAAACTTCAGAACTATGAAGTGGAGGGAATAGAGGAACAGGTTACTGAGGCCTGAACTACAAGGGGTAGAGCCCAGTGGCCAACCTACTGCCACCTTGTCTACCTTCCAAGGTCTTCTCTTGTCCCCAGCCAGGCTTCAAGGCTTCCTTGGGCCTAAGGTAGAGGCCATTGCTTGGGAAAGCTGCTGACTGTCCTTGGGTTGGCATTCATGACTTAATGGTCACTGGCAGTCTGCCCAGTCTCCTTCAAGCAGCCTGGGACTTTTTTTCTTTGAATGCAAGGGGCTAAATCCTGCTATCTGGCCTTTTCACTCTCTGCAAAGAGAAGTCAGTCATCTTGTGTAGCCCTGAAGAGCAGAGTAGAACAGCTCTGGACACCCAAGTTATCCCGCTCACTCTGTTTTACAGAGAAGGAAACTGAAACTAAAGAAGTGGAGTTTTGCTATTTACCTTATTTAACTATGGTAGTTGGGGGGAAAAGTTGTCCACGCGTTGAAGTCTGAGGACTAGATTCAAATGATTGTTCTGCCATCACCACCTATGAGACCCCAAGCCACTTCCTTTCTCAGGGAATGAAATGAGAGGCTGAAATAGATCAAATAGAAGTGAGGGCCACTTAGAAGGCCACATTATATATGTTCTGTTGAATTTTTATATTTTGTTCAATATTTTCTCAATTACATTTTAATTTGGTTTGGGCCCATGTATTTAGGAGTTAAAAAGGGACTTTGGCCATCCAGTCAAACCTCATTGCATGTGGAATCCCCAGTATAATGGAGCCTGACCAGTGGTCACCCAGCTTCTGCTTAAAGACTTCTCCAGTGGAGGTGGCAGCTGCCTATGTGACTTTTGAATAGCTGGAATCATAAGTTTTCCCAGGCATCAAGCCTAAATCTGCTTCATGGTAATTTCCACCCTTTCGTGATCATGGCTATTGTGCCATTTTCCAGTCTTCTCTTTTCTAGGCTAAACAGCACCAGTCTTCTCTTTTCTAGGCTAAACAGCACCAGTTCCTTCAGCAGAACCTCAGGACATGAACTCAAGGCCTGTGATTCTCCTGGTTGCCCTCTGGATGCGCTCTCCACTTTTTCAGTGGTCATATTACATTGTGATGCTGCCTAAACCTGAGCAAAGTGCTGCAGATTTGGCCTGACAAAAGATGGGGGAGAGCAGGGTGCCGTATCCTTGTTCTTGGATGCTCCACCTAAGATTGAGTTCATTTCCTTGGCTTCTAGGTTCTGGGACTGATATACTTTCGGATTCAGACAAAGTCCTGTCAGACCAGGCCTCCCCTGTCCTGGGCTTTGGAATTCAGTTGATACCATTTATGCCCTCCTCCCAGTAATTGAAACAAATTCCAACTCCATTGGAAGTCTGCCAAGATAACATTGAACTAACCACTCATGAGTCTGCATTCATCCTGTTCCGAATCCCTCTAAGTATTGTCCATTCCACATCTCTGCCACAAGAATGCCATGAAATGATAAAATCTGGGTTAAGTTAGCACTCCTAATTAACACCACCAATTTAATTTAAAAGAAAAACCCTTGTGACATATGTGCTTAGTCAGCTAAAACATTGCCATGTTGTCTATCCATGCCCCTAAATTAAATGTGTCGATTTGTACCTCACCTCCCAGGAAGTAGGTAGTGGCATAGAGAAGTATCCTGAGGCCTCACTGAATTGACGGCTTTTGAACTTGTGTACTTTGTTTTCACTCTGCCCACTTGACTGCATCAGTTTATCCAGGTCTTCCCAAGTTTCTCCAAAACCATGCCCTTTCTCATTTCTTAAGGCATAATTAACATGCACCCCTTTAGCTTTACCTGGGGTGGGAACCTTGTATCTTGGAGGCCACATGTGTCCCTTTAGGTCCTCAAGTGCAGCCCTTCAATCCAAAATTGTTCTGCTTGTTGTTCTGTTCCGTACTCATGTATCTAGTCCTTTGCTATTACAAAAAGCTGCCATGAATATTTTTTGCTAACATTTTAAAAAATATATAGAATTTTTAATGTAGAACATAAGGAATTTCCATAGGAATTGGGAATCAAGCTTATTGATTAGTAGTTGACAGTTTTTGATCCACTCATTTTTTCAAATGGAGACATTTTGCTGTCTCTTCTGTGGTGCTTTTCCTAGTTGCAGGATTTTCAAATGTCATTTAGCAGTTACATCTGCTCACTTAAGTGCAGAAGATTGTAGTTTTTTGAGACCAGGTGACTTTGAGCAACCAGGGGCAGCTCGGTGCTGTTAATATCCTGGGTATCAAGTTGACCGATGCAATGGTCCTTCAGGGGAGAGATTGAGCCTTCTGCCAGTCTTTGCCTTTTCATTCATCCCAAGCAATGGAAACAGGGCTGGTTTTTTAAATCTAGTTAACCTTGCTTGGTGGCTATCTGGAGGGCCCTTACCCCTCACCCCATCTTTTTGAATGTTTAACACGTTGATTAGATTTGCAAACACCTTGATCTCCATCTGTGGTCAGAAATCTTTCATCCCTAAACTTAAAGGTGTGGTCCAGAAATCCAAAACCTATTCACAGATAAAATGCAGTTAGGTGGTACAGTGGATAGAGCAGTGGGCCCTGGAGTCAGCAATGCCCGAGTTCAAATCCAGCCCCAGACACTGCTGTTTGACTCTTAGATCAGTCATTTAACCCTGTTTACTTCAGTTTCCTCATCTGTAAAAGCTGGAGAAGGAAATGGTTTCTTTGCCAAGAACACTTCAAATGGAATCCTGGAGTCAGACATGATTGAAACATTCTCAGATACCACCAGTTCATCCCCCAAATCACTTAAAACTTTCACGGGGGAAAAAGGCTCTGTGGTCTTTGGCAGTACTTTGATTCCCTTCTGTCCTTATCTTTTATGGCCTTGTGAGTTGCCAAAAGTGGGTAGTATTTCTTGATGGGTCTCTGGATGGATGTGTATTCTAGGAAGATAAGATCGCTGCCCCTGTTAACATGAGGGAATCGCCAGTCACCACTGCTGACCTATTTAATTATACTGTAGCATAGAGGATGGGCAGATGTTTCCTTAGCACCCAGCTCGCTCCTTTTTGGGAAGACCCTCAAATGTGGTCTTTAAAACATACTTTTCGAAGTTTCAGCTGTCCAGTTGTCCTTTTCCGTATACTACAGCTATCTGACACGGTTTCAAGTCTTTTTCCCACCTCAGATTCCTCCTGTCCCTCTCCCTGACTTCTATCCCATCAAAGCCTCATTTTGGTTTCCTGTAGGAATGCATTGTCTATCAACCTAGACTGGAGAGGAGACCAGCCTACACTTCAGATGGAGACAGCAGAGTGTTTGTAGGCTCAATGCAAATCCTTGCAAGATTACAGCTCTCCGTAGTGTTTGGGATTCTTCGGTCTGAAATAGTTGGGGCAATTGTACCTCACCCCTAAACAACTTAAGGGCCTTTGTGGCCAGTATCAGCAGGAAGACCTGGGGTTGGCTGTCCTCTGACACCCTGGGAAAGGTACTACATCTGCTCTGCATCTCTTCACACTATAAATTAGAGAAGGTGTTGACCTATCAGAGGGGCTTCCTTCATTTTGAAGGTTCGTTAGCCCAATGAAATAGCCAATCCAGACCCCGTCCTAACGATGGCTCCACCCACTCCCTTCAACCCTAGTGGCATTTCACCAATTTGTCCCTCCTACCGTTTCACTATCAATTTGCTTTACCTCCTAGTTATTCCGCTTCCTTTGGCTGGTCTCTGCACTTGGAGCAGATCCGAAATCCCTGGACTTCATTCTTCCCCTGAATGAAGCCTTTCCCCGAATCTGCCTATGGAGATTATTCTTTTTTAGAACTTTCTCAATTTCCTCCTAAATCCCCAGGCCTTACGTGTCCTAATTGCCTGCGAGGTCTACCCCTCCCGACCTCAAGAACGTAAGGGCTTTAATGACTTGGACTTAAGTTTGTGTCGCTATTCCTAGGTCCCAGTTGATTTGTTCTTAATTCCTTTCACGGAAACCTGAAGTTAGCCATTGATCTCCTAAATTTATCTCCAGCGCTCCCTAGCTCTAATCTCTCCTCGGTTTGTAGTGACGGACTCCCTCCCCTTCCCTAACCGACTGCCATTTTAGCACTCGGTCAGCTCAGTTTCCCTGTGGGTCTCTACTTAGGTCAGGATGGGTATTTGCATCTTTAAAGGTAGCCCCTGGCGGGGGTGTTCCGGAGCCTGCTGAAACTGAAAGATTGTTGAATTTTCTGAGTGAGCATTCACACCTCCGCACCAAGGCTTTGTTCTTTATTTTGTTTTCTAGACTGAAGAAAGTGAGGAGAGAAAATGTTAATGATGCCGATTGAATTTACAAGTGTGTTATGTACACCCACACCCACACCCTCCCCCCCCCCCACCCCAGTTAAAACATTTCCCAGCATGCCACTGCCTCTAAGGTAGCACTGTCTAACGCTCCTCAGTTTTCACATGGAGTAATGGGCCTAGAGAGATGAAGTTAGTTGCACAAAGGGTTGTGTTAGTTGCCCAAAATGCTCCACATTCATTCCCTCTGCACCACTCAAAACTAAGGACGTGAATGACTGAAACCTTGTTAGGTCCCTTCTAGCCTCCATTCTCATTTCCACATACCCAAAGGAAGGGATAGCTCTATAATCTTGATCCAGTCATTCGCTAAGGCTTGTGTGTACCCATTTCCAGGGATAGGCCGCTCTATCCTGAGTTTGTGGGATATGGTGCCAGATCCTTTTGGGGCCTCTGGGATGCCATTGAGCTCCATGCCATCATTAGCAAACACTAAGGCCCATTATCTGCAGGAGCCAGAACTTTATTCTGTAGGAATGAGCTTCACATTTTGAGTTCTTGGGAAGGACCTTGGGGTTCATGTTGGGTATTGGGCAGTGAGATGGATGGTTTGCAGGCGATCCTTCAGCTGATGCTAAAATTTGGGGTATTGTCAGTCCCTAGGATTCAGGAGGGCACCTATTTCCCTCCTATATATACATAATTCTCCTGACCCTAAGGTAGGAGAAGCCCATGGGGCATGCACACTAACTTGGTTAAAAAGTTTCAGGGAAATCCTTGACAATCCAAGGGTGTTTCTCAACCACTAGTAATTAGAAAATGAATTCCTGCTGAAATCTGCTTCCGTTCCTTGCTATATTTGCTAATTATCTCAACTTCTCTTCATATGACATCACGCTGTCATTAACAGCCAAAGCTATGAGCAGGAATAATTTGGGAAGTTATTGGATTATTCCGTACAGCTTGAATAATGATGGATTGAAGCAAGCTTGCGGGGCAGAGTGGAAAAGCAGCTGGAGAAGGAGATCTAGGCCTTAGAGCTAGAGGGAATAGCAAACAATAAAGGCTTTGCCTTCCCCTGGAAGCATCTGGCCTGCCTCTCTTTGCTCAGGGTTCCAAGGGCCTGGGGAGTGAGAATCAGAGGGAATCACTAGGGACAAGATGGGAACTAGCATCTTAGGTGGTCTTCCAAACTTCTCAATGCTTTTCCCATGGGCCTTATGTTCCTGTCCTTTTTGGTTCTCTGGGCCTCACTAAAAACCAGGATCAGGACAGGAGTTGCTGTCACAAATAACTTATGGGTTCCTCCAACCTTCCCTTTTTTTTTTTTTAAGGCAGAGTTAACTGACTTGCCCAGGGCCACGCAGCTAATAAGTGTCTTTGAGTCTGATTTGAACTCAGGTCCTCCTGATTCCAAGGCAGGTGCTCTGTCCACTACAGTGCCACCTAACTGCCCCTAGTCTTTGTTTTCCTAGGTCTGAGGTTTCAGATCAGGCTGAAATGAGGTCATTTGATGGGGAGGTGATATGTAATGTCTAGTGTTTGTTGACCCAAATGCTAAGCTTTAAAAGAGCACAATCTGTCTTGTGCTCCATGTACTTAGCACAGTGCCTTACAGCCCCAGGTGGTCTTCAAAAGGCCAGTACACCGGTAGCCACCACACCCTGTACCTCTCCACCACTGAAGATAGCACTGCCATACATGGCCATGCCCTCTCACCAGAACACAGGAGAAGAGCACCCTACCTACAGCCAAGCTTGAGTTTTTGGGTGAGCAGCTTTGCTACCAAATGTTTGAGGATACCTAGTCCAGGGTGAATGGCTGTGATGGTTCTGTCCCTTGCTGGTAAGGAGACACTTGAAAAAGGAATTGACTGGCAAGGGTCAGGTAGAGCTGGAGGCAATGGAAGTGAAGAGTAAGCATATAGCTGCTTCCCTCACGTTCTGGCTCCTGAATCATTAGCCACAATTCCAGCCCCCTGGAACCCTCCTCCTTTCCACCTTATTGCCAGAACTGTCAGTGTGGTGGGAATCAAAACTTGGGCTTCTCAGCCCAATTCTGGCAAAGGTCAGCTTTTTGCCTCAGCGTATCGTTTGTAAGAGGTGCTGGGATGGCTACTAAGTCTGCAATAGATGAGAGATACCCCTATCAGCTGGAAATGGAGAGAAAAGCAGTTTGATCCCAGGGAAGTGCCCAGGTCAGGGGGTTTTACCCTTTTTTGTGCCATGAACCCCTTCGACAGTCTAGTGAAGTCTGTGGGCCCCTTTTCAGGATGTTTTTAAATGCATAAAAATACATACAGGAAACCAATGATATTAAAATAGATAGATAGATAGCTATACATATATATATATATATATGTATATACATATATATATATATATGTATATATATATATATATATATATATATATATATATATATATTTTTTTTAGTGAGGCAATTGGGGTTAAGTGACTTGCCCCGAGTCACACAGCTAGTAAGTGTTGTGTGTCTGAGGCCAGATTTTGAACTCAGGTCTTCTGGACTCCAGAGCCAGTACTGGGGTCATTTTCCATTCTAGAGGAATATCTTAAGATATCCTAATATCTTGATTAGGAGGAGAATGAAGATTGTGCTATTGACCTTCCACTTGAGGCTGGGGACTTGATGTGGTAGTCTGTATCTCAAATACAACTTAGCTTGAAACTGTTTATGTCCTGCTGAGTACTAGAGGAGCATTGATTTAGAGGCCATCTACTACAATCCCCTCATTTTCCAGTTAAGGAAACTGAGGCCCAGAGAGGTGGTATATAGCTATAGGTGTCTGAGGCAGGATTTGAACTCAGGTCTTCCTGGATCCAGGTCTGAGGCTTTATTCACTATTATAAAAGTAGACTTAACAGAGGATCTCTTTTACCTGCTTCCCTAGCTATACTGTTTTAAGCATGGGTTAACAGGGCACCCTTTTTCACTCACCCATGCCCTACATCCATCTTCCCTCATCCAGTTTTTTTTTTTTTTGGCTAGGCAATGGGGTTAAGTGACTTCCTTCATCCATTAAGCCCTTCTGTATACACCTTTAACCATCCTGTTGCTCTTATACATTCCTTGGGTTGCTGCTAGTTTGGCAGGGACAGAAATAGTCTATAGGTGTCCAAAATCAGGCTGGGCTGAATGAAGTGTTTGGGCCGCTGAAGGAAAAGCAGTAACATCTCCCTTTCTCCCTGCCCCCTTTCTCTTAAAAGCATCAAAGCCCTTGTTTCCTCAGCTCTCTTCAGATGGTAAATTGTAGCAGGACTGAGTAAGCAAATCTGTATTAGATTATTGTAGGGGCATTGTGTAACACAGCACATGACCTGGAATCTATATCTAGCCTTCTGAGTAAAAGGGTGTTTTGCTGTTGTGGGTCCTTCTTAGGCCCCTCAGTTACAGTTATAGGTGGATGTTTCAGAGGTCACCATGAACAAGCTCTCTCCATACATAGGTGCTAGGGGCAGCTAGGTGGCGCAGTGGATAGAGCACCGGCCCTGAAGTCAGGAGGACCTGAGTTCAAATCTGGCCTCAGACCAAACACTTGACACCCTCACTGTGTGACCCTGGGCAAGTCTCTTAACCCCAATTGCCTAAAACAAACAAACAAACATACATAGGTGCTGCTGATTAGGGAGCTGGGAGCCAGGCACCAGCTGCTCACAAGCTCTGGCTTATGTGGCTCAGACAGGAATGCTCCTTTGCGTCCCAGACTCCTCACTGCTGAGAATATGCTTCTGAGTTTTCCCTCACAAATCTTTTCTCCCAGAATTTTAGCAGTGATGACAGAAGTTCCCTTTACCTCCTAATCCTCTAGACCGATATTTTCTCTTTCAAGGCCAATTATAAAATGACTCCTTAGTCACTACACAACGAGTGTTCGTTTGATACCGCCTTTCTCCTCTACAATTACCAACACTGGAGCCTTATGAGTCATCCGATCATTCATTCAGCAAACATTTACCTCTGGTTCCTACTGTGTACAGGGCTTGGTGTTGAGCACCGTGGGGGAAGATGAAAAGCAATGCCGTCGAGGTCCCTGCCCTCAATTCACATTCTTAGAACTGCCTGAGCTCTCCTCTTACCAACTAGCCTGGAAGCCTGTTTAGTTGGAACAGCACTGCAGTGATGTGGTAGCTTCGGGAGATGAAGCTTGGGCTGCTTACAGCCCTTTGAATACTTGGGAACCAGGGTGGAGTCATGCCTCAATCCTGTCTTTTCAAGGCAGTCTTCCACCTTCTCTCCTTTGCTTTTTTCCTGCTCCTGGAGGCACTGTCTCCAGCCTCTCCATGGGATTCCTCCTCAAAGACAGAGGAGTCTAACACAAGTCACACCAATGCTTTTGACTCAACTCGCGGCCTATCGTACTCCACATTTTGGGGGGAGGCGTTCATTAGAAGTTCCCATGGTTGTGGAATTTCTTCCTGCTCCAAAATAAAATGTTGTCAAATGTCAAACAGTGCTTTTCCATTGAGTACCTCAGTGCATCTTTTTCACAAATTAATTAAGGAGTATGGTTTGTGAATTTCAAATAGCTTCTTTTCCCACCTCAAATCTCCTCACTCACTCATTCACTCACTCATTCACTCACTCACACAAAGCAGGCCATTGCCCTTATCAGATGAGTCCTCTCAAAACATAAATCAAAAGACTTGGAGAAGAAGAGTCAAAAGACAGCTTGCTTTATTCTTAAGATGCAGGTGGTGTTGGAGGATATCTACAGAGGATGGGGTAGCCTGCATGCTACCAATCATAGAGCCTCAGAATTGAAAGGGACCTCAGAGGGCATCTGGTCTGGCATCCCACCGATTGCAGGAAGCCCTTCGGCGGCACCCAGACCCTGCTTTAATGACCAAATGATTCTGCCCGGTCCATCGTTGGGCTACTGGTTGGTAGGAAGCCCTTGCTGATGTTGAACTGAAATCTGCCTTCCTATTAACTTTCACCCACTAGTCCTACTTGGGCCCTCTTCCATCTTTCAGCCCTTCCATTACATGAAGACTGATCATATCCACTTCCTTCCTCCCCTTGACCAAGCCTCCTTCAGGTTTATCATCCCCAGTTCCCTCAACCAGTTACTAAATGACATGATGCTGAATCCTCTTACCACCCTGCTCCCCCTTTCTCTGAACACTTTCCAACTTGTCAATGTCCCTCCTAAATAGTGGTGTCCAGAGGTGAACACAACACTACGGATGGGTCTGACTAGGGAGGAGTACAGAGGGGTTATCACTTCCCTAGTCCTGGACATTGGCTGGTGGAGAAGGAAGTGTCCCAGACTGGTGAGACAGCAGCCATATTATACATGGGACCTTCTTCCAATCCACCTGTGATGCCCCCCACCCTATCCTGGGCCCCATACTTCACCATTCCCCCTCTCCCACTTCCCCCCCACCCCAGACCCTTTCCCCCCCTCCCTACCCTCCCAACCTTCTTCCCAGACAGACATCACTCTTAGCTCCTGGCTAGTCACCTTAAGGAGCTGCTGGCCCCTGGGCAGGTTCACAAAACATAAAAACAAATATTGGCAAGCACAGAAAAGGATAAAGACCACAAAATCAAGGTTGCTTTTGTCCATGAACAAGGCTCCCAGTGGGCCCCCAGTAGACACGGCACAGTGGAGGCGAGCTGAGGGAGGCATTACCATCCACGGGGACTTTTGTGCTCGAAGAAGGAGTCTGTGCTCGAAATCCAAGGTAAGGAAATGCTTTGTGCTTGGCAGAGTCTTCCTCCCTCCCCAACTTTTTCATTTAGTTTTTCCCTGTCTCCTTACACCCCAGCTGGAGGGGGGGAGGGCAGTGTATGTGTGTGTGCGCGTGTACACACACACACATACACAGAGCAGGCCTGACACCTTCCTGTTGACCTTGGGTATGCAGATAACTTGGGTTTCTTACACACACACATACACACACACACCCCAATATACACACACACACACACACTCACATAACACCCTAGTCTCCAAGGGAAAGAGACTATGAAGCCGGAGATTCATTGGGCTGTGTGTGTCTCAGTTAAGGGCCTAGCTGGGAGGTTCACACAGTGGTGACGGACAGGAGCGGATTGTAGACTCTCTTGCCATCGGCTGACCGGGTTCCATGGGCCAGCATCTCTTGTATGGTAATCCAGTTGTCCAGGATCTTCTTGTTCCTCTTCTTCATGGTTTTGCGGTGGCTCAGTGCAATGATGTTGAGCTCGTGCTTGCTCTCGCTGTTCTGCTGCTCCTTCAGGCATTCCAGCCGGCTCTGCATCATGAATTCCCGCCGTTTCCGCTGCTCTCGTGCCCGGATCAAGTGTTGCTTTCGCTCTTCCTTGCTCCAGTACCGTCCCATCTTCATCTCACTCACGGCATCGTCATCTGTGGTCATGCCACTCCGTTCCTCACGGATCTTTAGGGCCCGAGCCTTCAGGAGCCGGTCACGTACTGGTCGTTTGGCTACATACCGCGTTCCATCACTTCGCACCTTCACTTTCCACTCCATGCGTGGGGCTTCTGCCCCTGCAACTTTGGGGCCGGCCAGGGAGTCCTTGCACATGCTAGCCAGGCTCAGGGGGGTGTGGCTCAGTTCCTCTAGGCCCCGGGCCTGAGATAGCTGTACACAGCTGTGGTAGCGCTCACTTGCCTGACCCTGCGCACGGTGGCGCCTAGAGAGGTAAGGACTGCCTTCTGCTCCCACCTGCTCCAATGCCCCTCCAGTCTTAGGGCTGCGGCGGAGTCGATCCTCAGCGTGCTGCCTCTGGCAAACCTCACCATCCCGGGAGAGGGAACGGAACTTGGCCGGGCTCCCGTCTTGGGGGACAGCTTTGTGGGGGCCACATGTGGTCTGATTGAGGTTTGAGTTCCCCGGGGCAGCCTTGAAGATGGTATCAGTGACCCGCCTCAAGGGGCTCTCTAGCAGGGGCTCCATGAGCAGTGGGGTGCTGCGGCAGCTTTCGCCTGTGTTGTAGGCGCTGGTGCTGTCTTTGTCAGACTTCTCAGGCAGCTCGGTGATGTCCGAGAGTTCATGTTTCTTCGGCTCGCTGGCCCCGAAGTCATAGAGACTCTCCTCCTCCAGAAGCCAGGCCTTCATGCAACGTTCACGGAGCTGCTGCATTTTCTGGGCTCGCAGGATGTTCCTACACTTGAACTCCAGGTGCCTCAGCTCCTCCTCAAGCATGGCCATCTCATGGCCAAGGCTCTCATTGCGGTTGACATCCAGAGAGCTGTTACCCCCTCCTGCCCTCGGGAAGAAGAGCCCCAGCTGGTTGCCATTCTCTAAGTGACATTTGATTTCCAGCAGCTCCCGATAACGCTCATATTCCTCGTCTGTGAGACCTGGGACGTCCCCACTACCCAGCCCAGCTCCCTCAGCCAGGAGGGAGTCCATGCTGAAGTGGAAGTCCCGGCTCTGCAGGGCATCGCCCTGGAGGCCAAATTTACGTAGACTTCCAGGAGTGTTTGTGGTGCTTGGGGCCTCATCTCCCAGCAGGTCATGTTCTGAGCTCTCTTCGTTTCGGGTGCTTTCATCAGTCCGGCCTACCCCACTGTCCAGCTCTTGGCTATTGCTCAGACCTGGGCCTGCACTGGAAGCTCCCTTTCCATCTTCATTTTCAAGCTGGGGACAGAGAGGCAAGTTTGGGGTTTAAGTAGGCCTAGATACAACGTAGCTTTGAAGGCTAAGATGGGGTACCCAGTGGTATCTGGACTAAAGCATTATGGGTAATATGGGTATGTGGACAATTCCCTCTTCCTCTCCTATTCCTCAGTTCCTTCATTCCATCTCTCCCACTCTGCCATTCCTTAACTCAGGGTATACTCTTCCTTAAGGCTGACGATAGCAATAGTGCCTTGACCCCTCCCCTGTTCTCACCTGATGGGCAGAAGGGGATTTAAGCTTCTGGACCGGCAAGTCCCCCTCATTCTCAGAGCCGAAGTCATCTAAGAAGTCCTCACGGTCGCTGTCGTTCCACCGCTTGGTCAGCTAGAGAGAAAAGCCAAGGACTAGAGTTGTGCCAAGGTCCCCCTGGCATCACCAGCTATCTCCCCAACAGCTCCCAGCTCCTGGCACCATGCTGAAGAGTGAGCTTGGCCCAGCCTAAGAAAGAGGTGGCCCTCCTGGGTCTACTTTGCTGTCCATGCGGCATTTTCTCAGAGGGCCTGTCACTACGTGAAAGCTAAATGGCACCTTTAAGGGGAGAAGCCCTGGTCTGTCATTGCTGTATTTGATTCACCATCCCTACCACCCCCCTTAATCCTGCTGGGTATGATTACCTCAGTCTCAGGCCGAGCCACAAGCAGTGAAATGTTGGTATTCTCCTCCTGGGTCAAGATTGCTACTGCCTCCTCCCGATTCTGGACATCCATGCCATTTATCTAATAAATAACATTATATAATGTTATAATACATATAATAATATAATTAATATTCAAGCTATTAGAGATGTCACAGGACAGTTCATATGTGGTTGCCAAATGAGGGATGCTCCAAGGAGTGAGAGAGCCCTGGGGGCTAGGGCAGGCAGGGAAGGCTTTGGGAGTGGGGGGACAGGGACCTGAGCTGTACTTAAAGGACGGGTAGGCTATAGAGAGAGGAGGGTAGGGCATCCCAGACAGGGGAAGTATAGCCTAACCTTTGCTTGGAAGTTGGAAGACCCCAGGTATGTTCAGGAGATGGTGGGAGGAACAGTTTGACTAATATAGGCATATAAGAAAAAGCTAAAACCATAGATTGGGAGCCAGGCTGCATAAGACCCTCTCCTGAGTCATGGGATAAAAACCCAGGGCCACAGGGTAGGGACGGAATGAGCTAGATATTGCTAGTCATTTCCAGGCCCAGATGGAGCTGCAAATACCAGCTTAAGGTGTTTGCATCTCTCCTTGTAGTCATAGGGAGCCCTGACATTTTCTCACCAGCGTGGGGTCAGACACAGTAGAGAATGAACTCGCCAAGCTTTAGCAGAGGCTGCAGGAGATCTGGGCCCTTTTCCCCCTGCTCATATTCCACAGGACATGAAAGCAGCAGCTCAGAAGACAGTAGGGGGAACTGGGGTAGGACAGTTGAACAGACACCCTTGGACAGCCATTCTACCCAGTCCCTAGGGAGGACTCTAGCCAGGATGGGGAGAAGCAGTCATCTCTGTCTACTAACACTGACTCCCTTCAGCTCAAAGAACCAAGCACTCCTAGCACAGAGATCCCTGGACAGAAGTCCCACCCCGGACAACTGGCGTGTCATCTGGGTTCCTTCTCACGGCTGGTTCCCCCTCTTCTCTTTATATGGAAGATCGTTTCACAAAGTCAAACAGGATTGAAAAGAGCCAACTGGCAGAGGAAGGGCAGGCCAGGTGAGAGGGAAGCTTGTTGTTGCACCCCCACCCCCTTATTGCCACTCAATGCTCACCTGGATGATGCGGTCCCCTTCTCGGATCCGGCCATCTTTGGCTGCAATGCTGTTGGGATTTACCTACAGGAATCATGCAAAGTGGGAATAGTGCTAGGTACTCCCAGGGAATGACAGGATGCATCAGGTCCACTTTGCACAGGAAGGGGATGGAGCAGCCCTTGGAGCCCTTCAAGGCCCTTAGGGGCCCTTCCTACCCCTTCGTGGATAGTTTCTGGCTAGCCCCTGGCCTTGTTCATTAGCAAGTAGCAGGGGAAGGTGTGGCTCTCAGAGATTGTTCCTAGATTGTGACATGACTGGATGTGCATTTTTTGTTTTGTTTTGGGTTTTTTTAGGCAATTGGGGTTAAGTGACTTGCCCAGAGTCACACAGCTAGTAAGTGTCAAGTGTTTGGTCTGAGGTCGGTTTTGAACTCAGGTCCTCCTGATTTCAGGGCCAGAGCTCTATCCACTGTGCCACCTAGCTGCCCCCGGATGTGTGTTCTTTCCATTTGCAGGGTAAGAAAATGGTGGGGGCTTTCTTTTTTTTAAGATGGTATCTTTCAAACATACAGACACCCCCTCTGCCCCTGCCTCATCATTCATGACCATTCCAACTGGTACCTACAGAGCACCTGACAGAGGCAGCTGGCCGAAGAGGGGAGCTTGACTCTCTCCTTCACAACCGGCCAAACCTTGATGTGAGTCACTTTCCCTGTCCCTGTCCTTATTTCCCAGATCAGACAAATGAGAACCCTATACAGTGATGTGAACTGCAGAGCCTTCGTTATATGGGCACATGTCATGCTGAGATGGCTTCAAATGCTGCTTCTGCCACTTACAAGTCCCTTCCCCTCCCTGAGCCTCAGTTTCCTCCTCTGAAAAGTGAGGGGGTTGAGCTAAGTGGCATCTAAGGTCCCTTCTAACTCTTAATAAAGGATCCCATAATTCAAAGCAAAGGGATCAGCCTTTTTAGCATTAAAAGTATGAGCAATAGCAGAGATGTGGTACCAGGAGAAACAAATGGGAGAGTGGGAGCCCTGGGTTAATTTCTGTCCATTCCCCTCAAAGGCTCCAGGAAAGGGAATGTTCTTAGGGGGTGGGTTAGACCAGACGACTCTGAAGGTCCCTTTCAGCCTCTGAAGTTCTTCAGCTTCCTCAAAGGTGCACAAAACTTTAGACTAGTGAGAAGAGTCCTTGGAAAGCATCTTGTCCAATCTCCTCTTTTTCCAAAGGAGGAAACCGAGGCCCAGAGAGAATGGACTTGTTCAGAGTGGCAGTGTCCAGGGGTCGGGGGAGAAAGTGAGCCTGATGGGCCAGAGTGGAGCACCCCCCCCCCAAGCCCACATACAAATCAAGTCTTACCTCTCCAACGTAGATCCCCAGATCCTCTTCGTCATCTGTTCGGTAGCAAACCATCAAGCCCAGCTTGTCCCGGTGGCTGGCTTTATACAACTCCACCTCCTGCCATGCAGGGGGAGTGGGAAATGGAGAACAGAAACCCCAGAGGATGCATGAGCAAGGCAGCCTGATCCCTGGGGGCAGGACAGTGCTACTGCCAAGCCAGGCCATCCAAACCATCCCCTCTACTGGAGGAACACCTCACCTCTTCTCTCACATCACCTACACTGGAGCTAGGTAGAGTGTCTCTTTATCTCTCAGGTTTGAGATCTGTTCTCACTTCCCCTCCAAAAAATGTGATCTGTTTACCAAAAGCCCCCTACTTGGAAACCCCAGGAGACACACAAGGAAACATACAAGACACCAGACATACAGAGACACAGAGTAAACACGGGAACCAAACACATACCCTCCTTCATGACAGCCCCAAACTGACCCGGGGCCATGCCCACGATCCACTTCTTTGTACCTTCTGTCTCCCAGGAAGAGACCAAACCTCTCATCACTCCCCAGATGGAGGATGATTCCAAAGGTACCACCCCAAGAGTGACCACTGAGAATGGCTGCTATCCACCTAGCAGCCTCTCACCTGTCTCCCTCAAGCTCACCTCATACTCCAGCTCATCCACACGGTCTGCCTCCTGCTGGCTGCCCTCCATGAACTCCGCTGGGTCATAATACTCATGGCCGATGGGGGGGCTGCCCAGGAGAAGATGGGAGGGGTCAGGACAACCAACCATCCATCTTTCTCCCCCCACTACTCTCCCCACCTCCCACCAGCTCCAGGGTCTGGCATATCTATCTCCCTACAAGTAACCCAGGGATCTGGAGTATAGATGGACTGCACTAGACAGTTGCCCTAGGCTCCAATGGACCCTGAGGTACCCTCAAGAGTGAGCCTACTGAATTCCATTCCTTTCTAGCCAACTCATTCATGCAGAGGCCAGAACTGCTTTATGGATCATCTAAGGGTCCAGAAGGGAAGCCCAAGGATCCAGCCCAGAAGATGACTACTCTGGCCACTCTGACCAAAGCTGTCACCACTAGTACCATCGTTAGTGCCTCATCGCCACCCCCACCCCCTTAAATGGGATCATCCCATGCAGTGCCCCCAGGAGTTAACCAGGCCCAAACACATTCTCCAGGACCAGAGCTGGGATGATGATGATGTGCCCTCAGTCATTGCTTTCCAATCCCCAGGAAAGGATTAGCACCAAGGTCAGCAGCAGCCCTTCCTCCCTATCTCCTACCTCAGATTGAGGAGAGGGGGTCCTGGTAGCAAGCAACTCCCCTGCAATCTGGCTGGAAGATTAGTGGCGTCAGTGCCCGATCACACACACTATCAATCACCCCTGACTGGAAGAAGACCTCTTTTTTTCCAAGGAGTAAAGCAGAGAAATGAAAGAAAGGAAGCAGGCAAGAGATGGGAAGAGATCCAGAGAGGTGAGGGAAATAAGAGAGAGGAAGAAGGCAAGAGAATTCAAAGACATGAAGCAGAAGAATATGGGGAAGAAGAGAAAGAATGGAAGACCAACTCATTCCCTCCCCACCACATCAATTAGCAAGGAATAATCTCCAGCCAGTTCCATGCCAGCAGAGGGGGGCTTGCCTCCCTTGAGCCCCGGGAGGAGATGAAGGGAGGAAGGCCTCAGTTATAGCTTCCTAATCCCATCACTGGATGGAAGCCTGACACAAGTGCTCCCGGGGCTTGATCTTGAATCCAACACAGACCTCCTGGGAGGCAGCCCCAGGACTGCAACCTGCCCAGCCCCTGCCCAGGGAAAGATCTCCACAAGGAAGGAAAGCAGTCAGTCCTGGGGGTACAAGAGGATCAGAAAAGGGGGTTTGAATATTCTGCCTCCAAAGCCCAGGTCAGGCTTGAATGTGGCCTTTGGCAAATGGACCCAGATGCCCCCAGGTGCAGTGCCCTCTCTGAAGGTAGGGCCCGGAGCCCTACTGGGGGCAATTCCCAGCTCAGAAAAGACATACGGCTCCAGGATGACCATGGGCGGAGTGGGAGGGCGCAGCTTGCCCAGCGCCATGACATGCTCGAAGGTGATGTCAGTCTGAGTCCCACTGTCCACCAGCTGCAGGTCGTTGCAGGAGCCATCCCCCCGGAGCCGGGGGCTTCGTCTTAGCACCTGGATCACCAGGGGCTCCTTGGAGGAGCGCAGTGCTTCCAGGGTTTGCTCCTTTCCATTCACCTGTGGGCAGAGACATGCCCACATCAGCACCCCGAGGCCATCTCCCCACGGAAAGGGGAGGAGAGGGGGACCCAGCCTGGCAGGACTCAGGCATGACACTCATTGCCTGAGCTCACCAGCCAGCAGCCCCAAATTGATCCAGAGAAGGGGCGTCCATCCTTCATCCTGTAACTTAGATTCCCATTCCCATTTCTACCATCCTGTTCCTCACTGTCATCTAGAATATGCAAAACCACCTCAGCCAAGTCTAGGAGCCAGAGGAGAGACCCACGTGGGCCTGGTGTCTGAGGGATGGGGTCAGCGCGCTCTGCTGCAACAAGAGACCTCTCTCCATGCCAACAGGCCTTCCTCCAGAAGATCCCAGAGCTTCCTCGACCCTCCTCACTTTTAGCCAGCATGGAAGTGTCTTAGGAAGGACCAGACCAGTGTTATCTAGAATCTGTAAAATGCTTTAGAATCCTTTGGCAAGAGTCTAACAGCATCATCAGCACCCCAAATATGTTTGGTACAATACCAAGGTGATGGGGGAGGGGAGGGCAAGGCGTTGATCAATGTGAGCCCCAAACATTCATGAAGCTTCTACTAGGTCACCAGGCTATGCATAGCAACATGGAAAAGGAATACAGAAAAATGTTAACTAGTCCCTGCCCTCAGAAAGCTTCCGATATAGCTGGACAAGAAAACATATCCATGTGGAAAGATAGTTAACAACACAAGGCAGTGCATGATAACTAAATGTCAGAGGAGGTGAGGAGGTCTTGCGCTAGATTTTGAAGAACAGTTAGAAATGAAGCAATCTCCCCCTCCTGGTAGAGGGGAGAATGCATTCTGGGGGATGAAGTATTAGGACAAAAACAAAGTCCCAGAGACAGGAATGAGCTTGAGGGTGGGGGTGTGAAGAGCACATCAGCCTGGCCAGAGCAGGGGTTGGGGGCAGGCAGAAGAACAGTAAGAGAAGATGCCAGATTGGAAAGATCCACCATTTCTAGTCTCCAGATACAACTCCTATCTTCCAGACCAACTGAGCTCAGGCCAATATTCAGCCAGATCTCTGTCTCTGTACCTTCTTGGCCATATTTTCTAAACCCTTCTGAAGTCACTTGGTTCCTTTCCCCTTCTAAGCCTCACTGTCTCCAACTCCCTTCTGGCTCTACCATTCACCCCCCTCCTAACCTAAATTAGCTGTCTGAATGTCTCTCCCAGTGTCTGAAGGAGACCCTAAGAATCCTGGGAAACCGAATACTACCTAACACCTCTAGCCTAATCTAAGGCAACTGCTCTTTGATACAACAAATCTCACATTTTGCAAGGGTCTGCTGCACTGAGGGGTAACAGCCTGATTCATACAATTACTACATGGCTACAATGCATTGTTCTCAGGAAATAGTAATTTTTCATGATTTTTTTCATTCAAATTTACAATCAGGATCACTGATTTCCAGCCGGAGGGAGCCAAAGAGGTCATCTAGTCCAATCTCCTGATTTTAAAAAGAGGAAACTGAGGTCTCCTATTCAAGAAGAGGTGATCTGCCCACAATCACATAGGTAGTAAGCAGCAGGGATAGGATTTGAACCCAGGGCCTCTGCCTCCAAAGCCAGTGTTCCCTCCCCCGAGCCTCACTGCCTCCACTGGGGGAATATGACGCATATACAAATAAGTCTGAGGTAGAACGTGACAGGGGCGAAGGCGAGAAGCAGACAAAGTAACCTAGAAAACCCAGAGAAGGAGAAATATGGCAAAACATTGTTTCTAAATAGTTCTACATGGCTACTGCCAGCACCTAGGTATCCCTTAGCCATCATTTTATATATATATATATACACACATTTTTTAATTACACACTTGCAAAAGCAAGTGCCTTTTTAAAAATTAATTTATTGATTTATCAACACTCACTTCCATAGCTTTTGAGTTCAACATTTTTCTCCCCCTTCCTCCCCACCACCCTCCCCAAGACGGCGAACAATCTGATATAGCCTAGCCATCATTTTAGACAAGAGCTTACCATGTATTATCCGACACAAGCACTACCCCTGCCCTCCGTGTGGCCATTTCCAGGCTTCAAGGGTACAAGTAGCAGCACTTCCTGGCTTCTTTTTTTTTTTTTAATTTTTTCATTTTTTAGGCAATTGGGGTTAAGTGACTTGCCCAGGGTCACACAGCTAGTAAGTGTCAAGTGGTGGTCTGAGGCCGGATTTGAACTCAGGTCCTCCTGACTTCAGGGCCAGTGCTCTCTATCCACTGGGCCACCTAGTTGCCCCATCACTTCCTGGCTTCTTAACAGAGTGAGGTGTAGCTAGAACTAACTCAGCCCTCTGTCTGGGGCAAGAGCAAAAGCACCTTTCATTGGTGGATGAAAGCCCCTTGTTCTTGGTATGGCTAGATGGGAGACCATGAACAAATGAGACGCCATTCTGCCTCTCATTCCAAGTCCTTCCCTGTGTTGTCACGGCAATGCTTCCTTGTTCAGAAGTTGCCAGTTTCTTGGCAGCAAATATGGAAGTGGAAGGTCTTTTACCCCGCTCTGGCATACATAACTCTTCCCCAGGCCTCCAGCCTTCACTTGTGCTGTGACTCACTGCCTGCTATATCCCCAGTCAGGGAGAGACAGGGGGAGAGCTGGAACAAAGGACCAGGGTGGGACAGCACTAAGGCTTCTTCAGAGTGCTATAACCCAAGGGGGTGATAGGGTCAGGGAAACCAGTTACTTAAGTGGATCAGGAAACAAGGCCTCCTATCAGAGGAGTCAAACATTGGCTGACTCAGCCCACCACCCTAAGGCTTCCAGCTTTCCTGGTGGCTGCTTGTCTTCATAACAGGCTAAGAAGGTCTAATGTGGCCCTTCCTTACTCAGCTGTAGTACACATAGTGAGGCATGTTGTCTTTTCATCTGGCTAGATTTCTCTGGCTTCTGCCCTGTACAACTGCCAGTAACATTATTTGGGGGCATTTGGTAGCATCTATATAAAACAACAACCAAAATCTTTCATCATTTTCCTTCATCTCACTAAACTTTTTCAGTTATTGGGATGTTGGGAACTCAGCTCTTAGGCAAAGAGATACAAGAAAATAGATATCATGTGCTCTAACTGACAAGAATCTGTTTCAGGGAGTGTCTCACAAGCATCTCCAACTATTTCCAATAAGCTAGATGAAAAAGAGGTCACATGTCTATGGGTAGGCTGTTGTATTTTCACAAAAAGCAGCATGTGATGGCTATAAAGCACACACACAGCATGAACAGGAGTCTGCTGTTTGGTGAGATGTGCTCACACCTGTGGTGTACATGGATGTAAAGAACAGGGGTGTGTCCACGCTCACTGAGATGACTATGAATCTAAGGAATCATGGAGTCACGTGTGTGTGTGCGTGTGTGCATGGGTGTCTGTATGTATACGTGCACCTCTCCCTGAGGTGTGCATGCTCTCACTTCCCACACTTTTACCATCGGGACCTGTGGGCAGGGATCCTGGGTGACATCAGGAGGCTCTGCCACTGTCTTTTCTCTGTAGGGCTGCACAGCAGCTGGGTTGCTATGGAAACTGAGCCCAGGCTGTGGAAAGGGAGCATGGCTGGTTATTGAAGGGGCGCCATGTCAGGATGTCAGAGAGTAGGGGGATGGGGTGGAGAGCTGGGCTGTGTACAGGCTGCGAGCGTGTGGGTACAAAGGTGCAGAGCCTGACATGGAGATCAAAGCTGGTGCCTGAACCAGGTGACAGGAGCTGGCCCACCCCACTTCCTAGCTCATAGTCCTTTAGCACTAATCGAGTACTGTCCCCCTACCCCCTAGCTGTTCCTCCCGATCGCTGGGCTGGCATAGGGCTTGGGGAGGGGGGAACAGATGGACATGAGATTCCTATGATTTCTTTCACCCTTTCTGAACGGCTGAACATCTACAACAGCAGCTCTCCTCTTCATTAGTGGGGGGGGGGGAGTGAGAGAGTACAGGAGTGAGTCCCAAAGTGATGAGGATTGACGATAACGCAAGATGATGGGAAGGGATGGGGGATGGGAAGCAGAACAACCCATCCTCTTCTGAAGCTGCCTCCAGTGCTGCCCTACCTCCCCCCCTTAACAAAAAAATCCATTTTAGAGTCTTCCTACAAAGACAAAGAGCCAGACACAGCATGGGGAGGAAGAGGAAGACAGAGTTATGCAAAAGGATGAACGAAATGAAGGAAAAAGGGACAGACACTTTGGGAACTTGGAGCAGAGTCAGGGAGGAAAAGAATGAATGCTTGGGCAACATGGCTTCTTGGGAATTGGGGATAACTGAATGGAGGGTGGGCAGAGGCAATTTCTGAAGCTGCCTCAGCTAAAAGGCCCGAGGAAAGGAGCAAAGAGACCCTGGACAGCAGCTAAGGGCACATGTCTAGATCCATTTTTAAAACATTGCCTAAGCTAAAGCTTCTTCACCTTCCTTCCAGCCTCTACCAGCCTGGGCTCCTCACTGGCTCTCCCCAACACAGACACACACACACACACACACACACACACACACACACACACCCTTTTACTTCTGGACCTCTCTTTATGAAGGCTTGTTCATTCTTCACCTTCTTCTCTGCATCTATGAACACCCAACCTGATGCTGAAGCGAATTGGAAAGAGTTGCTGATGCCCACAGATCCTTCTAGAAGAATATGGTCTGTCAATGCAGCAGCATATGCCTCAGGAAGAACAAGTGTTTGCCTAGACCCAGCACATTTTCAAAAAGACAATGAGGGACTCACTAGTATCCCCTCAAAGAGGGACATAAGCATTAGCTGCCACAGCCATCAGGTCACCCAGATCTCTCTCTGTACAAGAAAACTATCCCTCTGTTGAAGTGAAGGCCAATCTGGTTTGAGACCGACCTTGGCCAACCAGGAAGTGCCACAATCACAGAAGCCACAATTGTGGGCAAGCTTCCCTGAAAGGTCTCCATCAGCACCCTGCCATCTACCCCCCATGTCCTCTAGCCACCATGCTTGCAGAAGAATACTCTGGGCCTCAATCC